GCTTTCATCTTTCTTACCTTGATAGTTGTGGATAAATTCTTCATGGACAGAATTTGTTTTTTTGTCGACCGTTTTGGTTGAAGATTTGGTGATGGGGCAGATTTATGAAGTTGCTGGAAAATACGCGAGACATTTCCACACATATTTTGCCACAGAAAAGCATTCACCGGAAGTGACATTTACCGTACATCGCAGCATTTCCTGCCGTTGTGAAAAAGGTTTATTAAAGTTTTGCGTCTACGTCACAAAACCACGTGACCTGGTGTTGACGCCGCCATATTGGAGGTCAAACTATCCATCTGGACAAACGTGTAGTATTTGTGTGCGATAAAACTTGAATTGAATAACAATGGTTTTGACCTGTGTTGCTGGGCCAAAGTATCTTTCTATCGGATCCCGGCTGATGAAGATCGGAGACAGAGGTGGAAAGCGACATAAAAACAGAGGGATGGATGGAGCTCACTGAGTACAATCGTCTGTGCAGTCAACATTTCATTTCTAGTGAGGGACCAGCTCCACACAAACAAAGAAGGAATTTACAGTAGGGTGACCATATTCCCGTTTGTGAAAACCCGGATACCTTGGGGGAGGGAGGGTCTCATCGTTTCTCGGATTTTTTTTTGTGCAATTTTGCATGCTTTTAAAAAAAAATAATTTTTTTTTTTTTTTACAGCGTATGAACGCGTATTGTGTATTACAGGCGGGTAGTAATTACACACGGGTGGGTCAGGACTAAACCAGGTCTAAACCAGGACTAATCTTGGATTTAAGAGAGAAAACACCGAGCAGTTTGTCCGCAAAGCGCGATCGGGTAATTGCTGCGTTTAACTCCATGAGGTGCGGAGCTGAGCCGGTCCTTTGTCCTGCGTCACCTCCAAGCCCGTCCTGACACTGAGTCCTGTTTCAGTTCTGGTTTAGTCCTGTTTTAGTCCTACTCTTCAGTCCTGGAATCAGTCCTGGGTTAGTCCTGGTTTGGTCTTGGTTCAGTCCATGGTGTAGGCAGCGCAAAAGTTTGATATAATCTCGGGTTACGGGCAGGTGCGGTCCCGTCCTGCGCGGGTGCGGTGTTGGACTGGGGGTCTCCAAAAATGGACCGTGCGGGACTCTGAGCTGTTGGGCTCTATTACTTAATAAATGAATCTTCGGTTCGTTACATAAAGAAGGAGGAAAATAACAAAAGGACGACAGCAGCAATAAGTTTTAAGGAAGTAAAAAGGGTTGCACCTGTCCTGTCTGAGAAAAGTGTATAAAGTTTGTGGTGAGGGGTTTTACAGCCTTAAAACAGATAGAATAATTGTAAAATATAAAGTTGATACTTCATGGATTTCACCTATCGCGGGTTATTTTTAGAACGTAACCCCCGTGATAAACGAGGGACACTGTCCTCTCACCTCACAACCTGTGCACATGGACTCACACTTGTCCCGACCGGGACGGAAAATGGAGAATTTCTTGTACAAGTCATTGTTAAATCCACATTTGTGCTTCGGTGTGTTTCAGACTGACCGACCTGTTTGTGTCTCGCTCCTTCTGAGTCACAGACGCTACGAGAGACGCTCAGTTTAATGCCCCCAATGAACGGTACTGAAAACCTGGACATTTGCATCACTTTATAAAAAAAAAAACCAGATGCCCAGGACAGGATGCAAAATACGGACATGTCCGGGGAAAAACGGACGTTTGGTCACCCTAATTTACAGTAAATGAAATGATATATACCAAAAGTATTTTTCTGGCTGGTGTACCGGCACAGAATCCCCTCCACCCACCCCCCCGTCCTCACTTTCACTGGCACGGAATCCCCCCCACCCCGGCCTCTATTTCCACCACCCCGGGTCGCTCTGGCTCTGATTTTGACCCCCATTCTACTTCCCCTGGCTGTTCTCAGGAACAGATGTGATGTTTGGTGATCAACAAAGATCTCACGCATCCCGCTACAAAATATTTATCTGCTTCTAACCACGTGTAGCTTTTCAGTTCTTGGTTGGTGTAGGACGATGTCGAATGAATGAAGTAGGTGTAAATATCTGGATACTAAAGGTTGAGCACAGAGTGAGCGTTGATTAGACTGACAAAGTGCTCCATCGGAATTAGATCGGGATCTTTTCCACAACCCAGGAGGACGACTTTAGCTTTATACTTCTCTAATGACGGCTGATCTAACGAGCTGGTGATTTCAGAGAGCTTTATATAGTTTGCGCTGTTTAAAGTCGCCATGATTATATTGAAATAACCTGAATAATCCCAGTCTCGACCGCCAAAACATTAAATCACATGACTGCCACCACACATGCAAAACCTTAATATGGCAGAAACGAGACAAAGAGAAACTTCACAATTGCCTGCATTATAAAAAATTAAACTATAATAAAAACTAAATTTGATTATAGATCTATGGTCTATAGTCTCATTCTTTCCCTGTGTTTTACAAGGAATGAAGTAACAAAGTAGAAACCACATTATATAGGACATAAACTACTAAAAACACAGCTAATTGTGAGAGTATAAATCAGTCGGTAAATACTGTATTTTTGTTAAGTTTGAACCATGTAAGACGTGAAAAGACAAGGCCACGGGCACCATTTTGAGTTTAATGCACATTTATTTTAAGCTTTTGTAACTGAGAATGTTTTAAAGTGCTCTGACATTGTTTAGAAGGGTGAACGTGTAAAAGTTAAGTTCACAGGTTCATGAGTGAAAGTTAAAAAGGTCTCAAGCTGAAGCTAAAAGGCCGTCAGCAGTACATGTTACTACCATGCAGTTCATGAGCTGAAGGTGGCGCTAATATATTAAAAATTGTATGTTAAAAGCTGTCCAGCTCTAGCCAGTCTGGTGTCACCACGTGCCTCCACTCAATTTAATTTCTCTCCAGCGACGAGGTCAGGAATCAGAATACACTACACAGTTTGCAAGAACCCCGGAAGTTGTAGACAGCGCACTGGCCAATCAGCAAAGAGTTGTGAAGCCATGACGTCAAACTCAAGCGTCTGTCTGGGTCCCTTTTGTGGAACAGCACAACAGTAAACAAAGAAACAATTTCAGAGATCGAGGATTTAAAGCCGGAACAAAGAGAATGTTTGGTGAAAGACGCTATTGTCCTTCTTTCTGCAGGATTTGGTGCATTACATACCAAATAGTTACGGCCCACCTTAGTTGTAATATTTCTGCACGATCCTGCTGCAGGAAGCCCTTCTGTGATTGGTGGGCAAGTCGACGCCCACCTCACCTGCAGCCATTAAAGGAGATAGCACCGTTTGGGGCTGCTGGCCTTGGTGGCCAGTCTGCCATTTTGGTTTTGTGTGTTAAAGTTCTGTTTTGTGCCTTTTGAGTCACTCGATTCTGTTTGTGTTATGTGGTTTAATTTGGGAACTTGTGTTTTAGTTTACTAAGTTACCACTGTTTTTGTGTACCTGACCCCTTTCCTGCAAAACTTACTTAATTTATTCCATTTTACATCTTGGTTTTATTTTGTTACTAAAACAAGCTGGGTCGTAAAGTTAAATAAAAAAGTACAAGCCTACTGTCGAGCCAACAAATCCTAATGCTGTGAGGTCAAACGGTTTCCATGAAGTGAAACCGGCTCATGACAGGGCTAGTCCAGCTGATAGACTGCGTAAAAAAAGTGGACTAAGCGAGTGTGACGTCTCCCACAGTGTTCGGCTCCACTCAAATGAAGCTCGCGGCGCTCACAGTTACAGGAAACAATCTGGAGCCAGGCTCTCTATTATGAATAGGATTTTTTTGACGGGCAAAATATGTAAACAGCAGCAGCCACAGACAGAGGGGCCTCAATATTCCAGTGTAAGTCAAAGGGGGGCCAGAGTCAGAAGGAGCTGGAAGAGCCACATGTGAACTTCCTATTTATGGTCTGTGGTCCAGCTGCAGGTGAAACAAGTGCAGAGATATGAACCTGGTCCCATGAGGCATCAGTGGGGTCAGTTCATCAGCACAGAAGCAGTTTATGAGGAGTCCAGCCCATATTACATGATCATTATATCCACAATGTAATGTGTGTATCTGTACAGGCCCATGAACATGTGTGTGATATTGGTCACACGCGAGAATGTCTGTGTTTACTAGTGTGTAACAAAAATGTCATTGTTCATGAGTTGTGTGTGTGTTAGTTGTGTGACTGTAGATCAGTGTGTTGTGTATCACCAGAAAAACACAAAATGGAAATTATTTTCATTCCAATTAGAATTTTAACAGCTACACTGAAAGAGAAAGTTGTTCTGTTCTAACTAGTGATTATCTGTTCTAATTAGTGATTATCTCAAAAACTATTAATATCTGACTATACAAATGCATAGAATTATAAATAGATGATAATTTTTTCTAAGATTTTGAGAACTCCCGTTGCTCGAGCTCCATCCTTTGTGGAGTTAGGACCAAAAACGCATATTTGACCTTGGTTACCTTAACCTTCAAGTGACCTTGACCGGTTTCAACCTGTACCATCCGGTGCACCGTGGTTATGTTTGTGCCAACTTGTGTGATGCTTGGGTGAATATTTTAGCCGCAGATGGTTCAGAAATTGCCGAAACTGCCGAATCCTTTATAACTGCGTGACCTTTCAGTTGACCCATGTGACCTTGGATCGTCACCAATTTTTTTTTTTTTTTTGCGGCACTGGGCACGGGGGCTTGACCCACGTACCAAATTTGGTCCATAAATGATGGAATTATCGCGAGTGGACACACACACAGACACACAGGGTGAATACAAACCCTGGTCAACCCTTCAGGGACCAGGTAAAAATATATAAAATGTGTTTTGGTGAAAAACTTTAAAATATGGAGTAAATAGTAATATTGGAAATCTTATGTGAACAGAAACATCAAATGGAAATGTTTACTGTACATCTATCATCTTAATGATATTTTACTGCATGATTGTGAATTGAAAACCAAGAAACTGTTGTATGAAATAAAAATACATGAGTGTATAAATAAATATGGCTCATTCTTTCTCTGTGTTTTACAGAAAACATTTAATCTGCCCAACAGGCCCACAACCCGGGTCTGTTACAGGTTCCTTTTTTTATATTAATGACATTAAATTATTAAATATACATCAGAAGTATTCAGACATAACTTTTGAGCTTCTTCATGATCCGTAGACTTCTTTGTGTTGAGATAAACGTCAAACTTCAATCAAAATCTGAAAAGCAAAAGAATGAAACAATTATGAGACTGAACTACTGCACCACAGAGATGCAGACCGAGAGGGGATTTGATCGGACTGATCTGTAGGTCCAAGTCCTGATCCGTTACAGCAACTTAAAGCAAACCCATCTTTAATCGCTAATTTTCAAGACACAATATTGCCGGTCAACCCTCGTTTTCACCGGTGCTGGTCCACGCCTCTGTACTTACGCTCTTTAATTTAATTTTATTCATCATTGTTGCGATGACGCTTACGGCGATGTCAGCTCCCACTGGAGACTACAAATTTATAACGTGGAAATCAGGGGACTTGTTTCTCTTATTAAGTCGTTTTTAGATCAATATTGTGATTTAAAATGTTGGTTTCGTTTATCACATGCCTAGTGTCGGAAACAACACCGGAAGTCATCATCTGCCTGTCTCCAAACGTCTTCCGGGAACCGTGAATAGAGCCTAGTCCGATATATTTGACCAGCTTACCTCTCTGAGCACCACCCAGAAGTCGGAGTCCTTATTGATCACCAGGCGGAGCGCTGAGACGGGCTGCAGAGAGGCGTCCACGCTGCCCTCTGCCATTCCTTTGTCAAATGTCCCTACAACCCACAACAAAGCAAATTTATGTCACATTTACATCTTCTAGATATAAATGAGGACTAATCGAGACCAAAGTGGTTTTCTCATTCTGTTCAAATGTTCAAACTCTCCTGAGGAATACATCTCACAGTGAGCATTGTGTGAGTTCCCGAAATTCTCTCGCAGCTTCTCTGTTCTTGATCTCAGCGAAGAGAAAAATGAGATATATATTGTGCTGCTTTCAAACATGTCTTCATTTGATATCCTTATGCTCAGTTATGTCTCTCACAGCTCACTATTTGAGTTCTCAGATTTGTCTCATAACGGCAGAGTGCCTCACAGCAAGAAGGTTCCGGGTTCGATCCCCAAGTCGCCCGGGCCTTTCTGTGTGGAGTTTGCATGTTTCTCCCTAAAGCCACCTAGTGCCTCCGCTCAATTTCATTTCTCTCCAGTGAGTAGGTCAGGAATCAGAATACTTTAGGCCAGGAGTGCCGTATTTTTGACAACACAAATTGTAAACAGGGTCAGGCATTCAGAAGTTTTATGTGAAACGTTTGTAACAATCCATTAAGTACGAAAATAAAATACTACTACTACTACTACTACTACTACTACACTAAATACACTAAAAACTACTACTACTACTAAACTACTACTACTACTACTACTACTACTACTACTACTACTAAAACTACTACTACTACTACTACTACTACTACTACTACTACTACTAAACTACTACTACTACTACTACTAAAACTACTACTACTACTACTAAACTACTACTACTACTACTACTACTACTACTACTAAAACTACTACTACTAAAAACTACTACTACTAAAACTACTACTACTACTAAACCAACTACTACTACTACTACTACTAACTACTACTACTACTACTACTACTACTACTACTACTACTACTACTACTACTACTACTACTACTACTACTACTACTACTACTACTACTACTACTACTACTACTACTACTACTACTACTACTACTACTACTACTACTACTACTACTACTACTACTACTACTACTACTACTACTACTACTACTACTACTACTACTACTACTACTACTACTAAACTACTACTACTACTACTACTACTACTACTACTACTACTACTACTACTACTACTACTACTACTACTACTACTACTACTACTACTACTACTACTACTACTACTACTACTACTACTACTACTACTACTGAAAACTACTACTATTATGTTTTAAAACTTAAAAGAATGTGCATGTTTAGAACCGGATGTTATTTTTCAGCTTGTACAGTCCCCGTCCTGGACTCTGGTGTAGTAGTAGTAGTAGTAGTAGTTTGGTGAATTACCCGCAGGTATCTGTGTAATCAGTGAATGTCACAGATAGTTGACTGATCCAGGTACTGCAATCGCCATAAATATGCAGTAATCTATCTACATAAAATACAGTGGCAGTTTTTTATGGATTTGAAGATAGGAGAGGCTTTTTTTTTTTTTATCACAACAGCGGAATGGAAATAAGCAATTAAAGTCGAGGTAAATGATTATTAAAAGTACAATCAACAGACATGCTGCTTTATTTGTTCTTGACCTTTAAACATGCTCTTGAGTACTTTTGTTTGCTTTTACTACTACTGCTACTTACTAAAACTACTACTACTACTACTACTTACTAAAACAACTAATACTACTACTTACTAAAACTACTACTACTACTAACTACTACTACTACTACTAAAACTACTAATACTACTACTACTTACTAAAACTACTACTAAAACTACTAATACTTACTACTATATACTACTAAAACTACTAATACTACTACTACTTACTAAAACTACTACTACTTACTAAAACTACTAATACTACTACTACTTACTAAAACTACTAATACTACTACTACTTACTAAAACTACTAATACTACTACTACTACTAAAACTACTAAACTACTACTACTACTAAAACTACTAATACTACTACTACTACTACTATTAATGACAAAGTTCAGGATATCAAAAATGCCATCAATTCCACAACACAAAATAACAAGCATGCAGCCACAGAGACACTTAGAGCTGAATCCTTTGCACCTGTAACTGACAAAACTGTTTTAGAGATCGTTACCAGTCTGAGTTCATTCTACTTGTGCCTGCTGGACATGTTACCCACTAGATTTCTAAAGTCTGTCCTCAACAGTTTACTTTCACCACTCACTCACATAGTTAACATGTCACTTCAATCTGGAACATTCCCAAATGCGTTGAAAACTGCGGTCATTAAGCCTCTCCTAAAGAAGAGCAGTCTTGATGCCACAGTACTGAACAATTTCAGACCCATCTCAAATCTGCCGTTTTTTGGCAAAGTCCTTGAAAAAGCGGTTTACCAACAGCTTACGAACTTTCTCCAAATGAACAAACTCCTTTGATGTTTTCCAGTCAGGTTTTAGAGCCCACCACAGCACTGAGACTGCTCTTATCAAGGTGACAAATGACATCCGCCTGAACACTGATGCAGGCAAAGTCTCAGTCTTGATCCTGTTAGATCTGAGTGCTGCTTTTGACACTGTCGATCATGGGATCCTCTTACAGAGACTGAGGACTGGGTGGCATCTCTGGTACTTACTAAACTGGTTCAAGTCCTATCTAGAAGACAGGAAGTATTTTGTTGAAATTGGAAACTGTGTCTAGATGACATGGCCCTGACCTGTGGGGTGCCTCAGGGTCAATCCTGGGCCCCCTGTTGTTCAATCTCTACATGCTGCCATTAGCCAGTTAATAAGCAGCAATAACGTGTCGTACCAACAATTATGCAGACGACACTCAGATCTACGTCTCTCTGGCAGCAGGAGACTATGGACCAGTGGACTCACTTGGTCACTGCATCCAACAGATCAGTGTGTGGATGCAAAACAACTTTCTCCAGCTAAACTCTGACAAGACTGAGTCATAGTGTTTGGTCCACAGAAAACAAAGGGACAGTGTCAGCAGTCACCTCCAAGTCTCTCGCTCTAAAAACCTTCAAATCAGGCAAGAAATCTAGGGGTAATAATGGACTCAGACTTGAACTTTTAACCACATAAAATCAATAACATCTGCAGCCTTTTACCATCTAAAAAACATAGCAAAAATCAAAGGTTTACTGTCTAAATCAGACTTGGAGAAACTTATCCATGCATTTGTCTCCAGTAGGTTAGACTACTGTAATGGTCTGCTCACTGGTCTCTCTAAACGAGCTGTGAGACAGCTGCAGAACATCCAGAATGCTGCAGCTCGGGTCCTTACTCGAACTAGAAGTACGAGCACATAAGTCCTTGCTCAGGTCTCTGCACTGGCTTCCTGTGCCTCAGAGAATAGACTTTAAAGCAGCTCTGCTTGTACAAGTGTCTCCATGCCGAGCACCAAAGTACATCTGTGACATGTTAGTGTCATATGAACCATCTCGCACTCTGAGGACCTCAGGGACCGGCCTCCTGCTGGTCCCAGAGTCAGAACTAAACAAGGGGAGTCAGCGTTTCAGGTTCATGCAGCTAAAAACCTGGAACAGTCTTCCTGAACATGTGAGATCAGGCCTCTTCTGTGACGCTGTTTAAATCCAGACTCAAAACATTTGTTTAACTGTGCATATAACTGAAAGGTTTTCATTCCGCACTCTTCTCTCCAATTTATGTCTCTCTTTTTAATTTTAATCTTCATGATTATTTATGTTTTGATTTGTTTTTATTATGATTTTAATGTATTTCTTATTCTGTAAAGCACTTTGAATTACTTTGTGTACGAATTGTTGCTATACAAATAAACTTGCCTTGCCTTGCCTTACTACTACTTAGTAAAACTACTACTAAAACTACTACTACTAAAACTACTACTACACTACTATACTTACTACTACTACTACTACTACTACTAACTACTACTAAAACCACTAATACTACTACTAATACTAACACTTACTACTATACTACTACTTACTACTACTACTTAAAACTACTAAAACTTACTACATACTACTACTACATACTACACTACTTACTAAAACTATTAATACTTACTGCTACTTATAAACTACTGCACTACTATACTACTAAAACACTACTACTATACTACTATAACTACTAATACTACTACTTCTTACAAAAACTACTACTACTACTACTACTACTAAAATACTAAAACTACTACTACTAACACTACTACTTATAACTACTAAAACTACTACTTCTTACAAAAACTACTACTATTATGGTTTAAAATTTAAAAGAATGCGCATGTTTAGAACCGGATGTTATTTTTCAGCTTGTACAGTCCCCGTCCTGGACTTGGTGTAGTAGTAAGTAGTAGCAGTAGTAGAAGTAGTATTAGTACTTAGTAGTAGTATTAGTACTACAGTATATATAGTAGTACTAGTTAGTAGTAGTAGTAGTTGTAATAGCAGTAGTAGTAGTATTAGTAGTAGTAGTAGCAGTAGTAGTAGTAGTCATAGTATCATCGTCGTAGTAGTAGTACTAGTAGTAGTAGTACTAGTAGTAGTAGTAATAGTAACAGTAGTAGTAGTAGCAGTAGTAGTAGTATAGCAGTGGTAGTAGTAGTAGTAGTAGTAGTAGTAGTCCATAGTTACATAGTCATCGTAGTAGTAGTATAGTAGTAGTAGTACTAGTAGTAGTAGTAGTAACAGTAGTAGTAGTAGTAGTAGTAGTAGTAGTAGTAGTATAGTACAGTAGTAGTAGTAGTCATAGTATTATCATCATCGTCGTAGTAGTAGTACTAGTAGTTAGTACTACTAATAGTAGTAGTAGTAGTAGTACTCATAGTCTGTCTCATCTCCAAAGCTCAAAATGCTCTTTCCTTTAATAGTTGGAGAAAAACACAGTGTAAATACGACATTTGCAGAGACTGTGTGATTGAGTGAATGAAACAAAACACAAAGTGTGGGCGCGTTTTTTGACGAGGAAACATTATGACGTACCAGATAAGACCAGATAAGAAAGTAGCAAACTTATCCATTACACATC